AGTATCTAGTTAACCTATTTACTAATATAATGATGGATATAACATCTACTGGTACGATTTCAAGCTCAATCTGCTATGTTGCCCTCCTTAATTGATCTCATTGATAATATATTTTATGTAGGACATGTTATGTAATCAAATTGATTTCAAAACTCACCATTCTGCATTCTCTTGTTATTGTAACTCACTTTGCTTGTATTTTGAAACCCACGCAAGTCTACTGAAACTAGACGTTTCAATTTAAATTATAAGTGATTAACGGTTTGTGAATAATTAGTTTTCTCAGAGGTTTTTTTTATACAGTAAATCAATTTAAATAGTGTACATTCCGTTCATAGAACAGCGAAACCTATTGGTTTGGTCGTGATTTACGGGTTTACAGATATTTAAAACTTCCTTTGTTAATATTTGAAACTAGATTAACTTTTTCAATACAAATCCCTGATTTTTTTGTTCCTCTTTAAAAATTATTTGAACCCAAAAAATATAAAACGTTGCAACAAACCTGAATGCCTTTACGACGCTACAGAGGTGACCGTAAACCCATTTGACGCCGTAAAGATCTTCAGAGATTGGGATTAAACTGCAGGTCAAAGAATCTGCTAGGATCTCTCTCAATTTTGTTTGAAGTTTATATTTTATACTTAGAAAAAAGAGAAGGGGGGGGGGGTTCCCTTGTTTCACAGTATTATTTTTAACTGATAAAGTTTTTAAAATAATATATCTAAATCAAAATAATTATTAGGATCAGTCTATAGGCATTCATAAAATAATTCATGCGGGACATTAATTTAAATTGATAAAAAAGTAACTGTTAATAGATGTAAACGTTTTTAACATTACTGTCTGGGTTTGTTCCTAATAGGGATTGTTACACTTGTGTTGTTGATAACCACTGACATAAAAATCTATTTCTAGAAAAAACCCTAATTATTACACAATAAATGTTGTATTTTTATGTTATAATACAGAGTTTTCATAAAATAATGGTGGGATAATGAAATAAAAAGAAAACGAGAAATGCTACAAAAAAAAGAATTTATTTTGTTGAATTCCTGACATCAAAACGAGTGTATATTTAGCTAATAGGCTTCAACATTACAACCATTTATTGCTCTACAGCCATCTATTGATGATCTATTTCAGCCCACAAGAGCAACATTTCTCTTGTTATAATGGAGACTGCATCTCTGGTTCATTCTATTAGATGGGCTAAATTTAGATTTTTTTTACAAACTATGTTTTTGACATCCTCGTTAAACTAGAGGCACTGACGTTAGTTTACTTAGTTACACACTTAGCTTTTTAACGGAAAGCATGATTATAAGAAAATACAACTTGAAGTTTATTTAAAAGAATAAGTAGGTTGTCGATTAGCACAACAACCAACACAGCTGTTTCAATTAATGTAAACGAAACTGTGTGAGCTAACGGATCCAGGGGTATCAATATGAAATATCTAATTGGTCTTGTAATCGTTTTACAGACAGTTCAAACCTCACCATTATTTTATAGAAACCCTGTTGTATATTATGGCATGATACAAAAAGATCTTAACACCAACTAACGACAGTCAACAAAATGGCGGACTGTATCAGTGAAGTTGTTGTTGATAGTGCTGCAGTCGACTCCCACAATCCCTTGTTCGTACTGTGGGGGACGTTTTAGCGAATTTCCCTATAGGGAAGTAGCTATTACCGTAGGTCTCATGGTAAGACCTAAGCCCGGGACCGATTTACTTTTTCATTTTGATGTCCCCAGAGGCCAAAAACACCATTCGTTCAAATTTTTATATATCTATATATAGATATATATATATATAGATATATATATATATAGATATATATATATATATATATATATATATATATATATATGTCCATCCGCACGATAACTTGAGTAATTTTTGTCCGATTTTGATAAAATTTGGTTTGAAGGTGTAAGGCTGGATAAACTTGAATGAGTTCGCGAACCAGCATGATCGGACTATGGGAACGGGGGTTTATCGGGGGTTTTATGGGGTAAAAATATGTTTTTCCCATTTTTGACCCTAAAAACACGAAATTTCACAATTTCTTTTTAAACCATTTCGTAGAGCTTAAAAAACCAAATAATTTAGTATATTGAAGCGTTATTATGCGCCTAATTGTTACGGAGAAAATTCAAACAAATTGTAATTTTGAAATTCCCATGTTATTCTTATGGAGAATAAGTCAACTGTTGTAGTTTGCTTGTTTATGAACATATTTTGATCGATTTTGGAAAATACTTTTATTTCTTACTAAACTATTATCATTTTATAAAAAAAATCTTTTTTACCCTCCCTGTTGCAGCAAACCTAAGTACTCGTTAAACTAATTCTATTTAAATAGGAAATAAATGTGCTATTTTTATGGAGGCATTTTAGTATTATCCAATCAGGTTAATGGAAATTCGCTTAGTCTGCAGTATTGCTGCGGCGGGGGTATTTTTTCTTACTTTCTCTTCTACTTATGTGTTCTTATATTATATTTGAACTTTAGTTATTTATTGATTACATTATTAGTCCCTAGTGATTTTCCATTGGGTTCACGATGTATGTAAGAACCCAACCTATTAAACATACTAACAAGTTATTAACTTTTCCTTTAAATGTTATAGAACAATATTAAAATTTCACAAAAACGCTATACTAGGTTTGAAGATAAAGCTAATATTTTAAATATGGATACCATTATCAATGGCTATACAATATTAAACCTAGATTAATGCAACAAAGCAGGATGTCTACGAAACGCTTCCTCTACATAAAGTCATTTTGCTTGCAAATCCTTATGCAGTTTGCCTGCATCTTGGTTGACACAATCACAATCGTGAATGCATCCAATTGTAGTAATCCCAAGACAAGGCTGGCATGAGTAGAAGATTGTACATTTGAATGCAAAACATCGACACTGGCCTCGTCGTGCACAGTTTAGTTTTGTGTCTCCCTTGACTTTATTCAAAAGATAAACATAATTTAGCATAATAAGTACATTTACACTCTCATTTGACTTTATCAACACTTGTAAATGTAAGAAGTATGTACTTCAAATGGCTTTGTTTTGTTAGGTAAAAGTATATGAGAACTAATTGGGTATAGTTTTTTCATTCATGCTGAGTGCAAAACTCAACTCAGTCTTATACAGGATGATTGATATAAGTGTGCCAGCTGCTTTAGTCGAAAACTATAAGAGATATCAAAAAAATGTAAAAGTGTAAGATGCCTTGGATTTTTATTTTTAATATTGTAGTCAAGTCGAAAAAAATATTTTAGCCGCCTTTTTTCCAATATGGCCACCAACCTTGATTTTTCTAATGGAAAGCCCTGTATTTTGTGATGTATTCCGGTATAAAATGAAATTTTAAGACAATTTTACACTTGTGTTTTTTTTTTCATAAACCTAACTGTTTCAAAGATAATAAGGTTAAAGTTGTGAAATTTCGAATAGTTTTCGAATAAAACAGCTGGCATGCCTGCTTAGGCCCTAATCAAAACTCTTTCTCATGCCGAAATTTCAAATCCCAAACAAAAAGATAAAATATATTTTATTTTATTCATAGAAAAGTTACAAAATGAAAAATTGGAAGACACTTTGCTTTCAAATGATGACAATTATTGTTATGATAAATTTTATGGAAAACTATGTACTGTAATACAAAATTTTTAAGTTAGTTTTTAAGTACAATCAATTTCAAAAATCTAAATCGTTAAGTCCATGGATTAATACTAATTTATACAATAGGATTTCGAAGAGAAATAAGTTGTATTTGTTGTATAGGAAAAGGCCTTTCGATTTACATTTTGGCAAGTATTTTAATGAGTTCTGTGTCAAATTAAGAGAAGATATTGATTTTGCTACAAACGAATTTTTACCGAACAAAATTAATAATTGCCATGGGGATTCTTCTCAATATTGGAAGGTTTAAAATAATGTGATAGGTACAGCAGATAAGAAAAATGTAACCGAAGTTGAATTGGAAAACAAAACAACTCTAAATGATCACAAACAGGTTGCCGAGGAGATTTTTAAGTATTTTATCTCAGTCCAATGTCAAGATAAAAACTTATTTATTAAGTTCATTCTACAATTTGTGGTTAGTTGCATGAGTATAGAATACTAATGTTTTACCATAATAATTTAATTATTTAATTATTTCAACATTTATATCACTTCAATCATATTCTCATTGCATGTTTGTTATATTTTGTTGGAATCTTTTACTTTACCCCCCAGGTATATGGAGAAATTATTGTTTTCGTCCAAATTTTAATAATGAGTTTTAGGTTTAGACATCCGTTTTGGGACCCGCACTAAAGCGGTGCGTGAGTGGATGGATGTATACAGAACTACTAGCCCAGTCAATGAAGGTTTTGTGTCGCAACTAATTAGGGGAAAGCTGAATTTTTGCAGAGTGTTAGTATATAAAGTAGACAGTAGAAAATGTCAAAGTCCCGACCCCCACCCCTCTTGCTTTCCCCCCCACCCCCTCCCAAACATCGTATGAGCAGTACTCTGGTCAAATACTCATAGCTCGAAAACCAATATAGTTAGAAACGTGATTCTTTCTTTATATTACACCTAACAATATGGCGAACGAATTATATTCTATACATTTTTTATGTAGATAGCTTAGTTTAACTGTAATATTGATATACATACAAAAGATGTCTCTGAAAATTAAAGAAATCTTACTTTAACCAAAGATATCTTCTTATTGTTCAGACTTCTTTACATTGATGAGGTCTGTCAGCTTTGTCAAGGCTGATTGAACGGATTTGTCATCACACGCTGTTGCTTGAGTAATATCACCTTGATAAAGTTGGTCATAAACTGTTTGAATCTCATTACAAAACACACTTACACGTATATCTTCATCTTCTGTCACTTTTTCAACAATAGCAGCATAGGTTAATATGTATGCTCTCACAGCTCTAGCAAAGGCATGTCCGGTAAGCATATGTTTTACCGTTGCCTTACCGTAGACAGTCTCCCACAATGACTCTATTCCACTGCCATCCATTATACGCCCAACGCATCCCAAGTACGACATGAGCAAATGGAAACCTCCAAACCTTACAACAATCCTTGACAAATCAGATTGATTTTCAGAGCCAGCAACGATTTCCATTGCTTTTAAGTATAGTGGCTGGTCAAAGGTCACAATACATGTTTCCTTGTTCTTACTACACTGTTCAGATGCAAAACACAATGCTGTATACACTGATGATGGGCTATTTGGATCAATGTCTATAAAAGGAATAGCCATGATGTACGAAGTGTCCTGGCCTTTTAATTTCTTCGTTGAAACACTCATAAAACCATTCCAGCCCGGTTGAGTGTTACATCCACTGACCCATAAGAGATTAAGTGGATGAATAAAGGATACTGTGTTTGCAGTTATTTTCCTCAACGATATGGCATCTGAAAAGTCTTCCATAACAATACGAGCTAAGCCACTGGGTTTTCGCTTGACATATGAACGTTTACGGATTTCCTCTGCAACCTTAAACGATCCGTCAACTAATCTAGGTACTTCTGAGGTGATAGAGACATTTGATGACGGAGTGATACACGCAATTCCTCCCATCGCATGAAATGTGTTCAAGCCATCTAACGACCTCACGTTAACGTCAGCGTTGTCAAAAACGTATTGTGTAAAGGAATCCGATTCTATGACTGGAGGGCCATGAGTAATTAAAGACCTTATGTATCTGTCACTTTCATTGTATGAGGAACATACACCCAGCGCAGAAAGTACCTCAATCAAATGTTTTGACCCATACATTCTATTTAAATATAGAGACAAAGAAGTTTGTATTGACGATAAGAAGGACCTTGGTCTTACAGTGGAAATTATTAAATGGTTAATCACAGCACGTTTTCTACTTATGTCAGAGCTCGAGTTTTCAGTTCGTTTTTTAGTCACTGTAGACGTAAATAGTGCCAATGTTTCAGGAATCAAATCATTTGATATGGTGCTTACTTCCTTTTCACTTGAATACCTTCCACAGTCGTAATTCATTTTTTGTATGTCTTCCCTAACAATTTCTGCTGCTGTTTTAACTATTCTTTTGCGTTCTTCTTCAGTACTGGTTTCTCGGTTTTTGTACCAAGAATCTAAAAATTTTTGACTAGTATGTGACATGCACAGAATACTTTTCTTTCCAGATAAATTATGCACAACTATCCTATCTTTGAAAAAATTTACAAGTTTTGACTTAATATAATAATCAGTATAATCTATATCAAAACCACTTAATTTAATTACAATTTCTCGTAACTCTTTCAGTGAATACTGGCACTCATTGTCGTTCTCAAGGTAATTGGCAAGCAGGTTAAATTGTTCGGTAGAGTTTGCTGATAATGGCCGTCCTACCTTTTGTTCACTACTTTTAGGTTTACAAAAGTTCTTATAACATTGCCCATGGTAACGCGCTTCGGCGGCAACTAAATCAATTACATCTAAAAGCCTAGATTTAACTTTACTGGCCCAATCATCACTCCTAACATCACAAGAATTGAGGATTTCGACAGTTGAAACCTCGTGAATTTTGGTTCGGTATTTATATGGAAGTTTAGCGTCAAAAACAGCACGTTCTCCACATAACAAACAATCATGCTTGAAATCGAATGTGTTGTCTAATTTTCTGAGAAAGTGCTGTGATGTAGAAGGTTCTGTATTTTGAGCTTTTAATGTTGCTTTAATGTTGCTTGGTCTGGTATAATTTTGCCTGCATGTAGAATGAACTTTTATTACATCGACATTAGCAAGTAATTCATGGATTTTGTCCTTTCTCTCAATACTGGACTTTATTAACGTATTTATACCCTTAGTGACAGTTACTCCGTCATCTTTGACCTCCTGATTACATATAACACATATTTTGTTTAAATCAGTCATTATGAGTAACTGAAGAGTAGGCCTAATTAACTGAATAAATGTAAATTGGTTGAATTAAGACTTAAGCAGTTTTTACCAGTTTTAAGAGTTTCCGTCCAGCTACTTATCCCGGCCAAAAATCCATAACAGCACAAATATTAGCATTGCACTACACCTGGCTCAACACAATCGTATTTCTGTTCACAAAATACAACTTTATGACGAAACAAAAAATCCCAACGAACCGCACAATGCAAGGGTTATACGTAAACTGAGCCGACATGGCCCACTATCATCGAACAGAAACAGTATTAAACAAGATCAAGATACGTTCTGAGGACTGTATACAAACAAGTTACAACGTGCAGTATACAAACAGGTTACAACGTGCTTACGTGCAGTATACAAACAAGTACGTGCAGTCCGACGCAAGGAGACATCTGAACCACCAGGGCTAGCGGTGCCACGCCGTCGGTGCGGTGTCCGCTATTGTTTAATCTCTCTCTATAAAGCAACTACGTCATCAAATAGCCTAGATAGACCCATATTATTAAAGCTAATTAAAATATCTATAAGTTTTGTCCGAGACGTTTCTTCCCACTGTGTAACGATAAAAAGAAATATTTGGTTAAAGTAAGATTTGTTTAATTAGCAGAGACATTTTTTGCAATTATATCAATATTACGGTTAAACTAAGCTATCTACATAAAAAATGTATAGAGTATAATTTGTTCGCCATATTGTTAGGTGCAATATAAAGAAAGAATCACGTTTGTAACTATATTGGTTTTCGAGCTATGAGTATTTGACCAGAGTACTGCTCATACGATGTTTGGGAGGGGGTGGGGGGAAAAGCAAGAGGGGTGGGGGTCGGGACTTTGACATTTTCTACTGTCTACTTGGTATACTAACACTCTGCAAAAATTCAGCTTTCCCCTAATTAGTTGCGACAACGGGTATTTTTTTACCTTTATTCACTGGGCTATACAGACCACACGTGTGGTCCGGTAATGATTAAATTTGGTATGTGGGTACTTATCCAAGGTATCTCCAGGTGCTCATGTCATATTTTTGAAATATATTTTTAATTGTAAATTCCCCATAAAACCCATTAAATAACGGAAAGAATTATATTTTTACAAATATGGCTCAAATAATTTTTTTACATTTAGTATGTTATAGCCTTATAATTGCTAAACGGAATTGTACAACTACCATTGCTGTAAAAATTATGGTTCAAAAGTTATTGCAACTTTTGTGATTTTCCCCATAAAATATCATAGATGATCACAGTTACTCCCATTGCTTACCCATCATAAGGTTCGTTGACAAACAAATGGGAGAAAGTAATATGTGTCAAATTGCTGGTATGGTTTATTTTTGCTTAGTTGTGTTTATTCATTGGTTGTATGAAATTAGCAATAAACGAACTATAGCTCATTTTTTAATTAATACCACGAGATTAAAAATAAAATTATTTCCAATAAAATCATCCTAAATCTACTTTTTTATTGATAAAATCGTATTTTAACTCTACAGTTTACATTCTGTGTTTTAAAGATTCATCACCTTGTGAGTTATAACTGTTCATAAGAGGTCGTTAATGCAACCATTTTGTTGTTTTTTGTGTTGGTACAAACTAATAAACATTAGACGTCTGGATTCCAAGAATGTTTGTTGTTTACCCATAAAGTCATTATCAAGAACAAATTACTATACGAAGTAGCACAGGGCAGCTTCATGTTACCAGGTAACGACCTCCCTTAACCAACAACACGTGGTGCTTATTACGATAAAATCCGTATTCTTTTTAAACAGCCTTTATAAAAGACTTTTAAATTCTTAGTACACAAATATAATTTAAATGTACCGAAACGTATCACCGACAGTGAATATTGATTGTTTATAAATATATAATGAAGACGTTAATTAGTTTCACGTTTTTACAATCTATTCTAAACATAAATGTTATTTTACACGCTTTCGGTTAGGATATTTTAAAATGTGACTTAGTAAATAAAGTGACTAAATGCTGTAAGATAATATAAGTGTCCACACTCAAACAACATCGTATGCAAGGTAATTATTTAAGTTAAAACTTCTGAGCAATTTCCCATAAATATGCGGTGCGATATTTTTTAGCACACGGAATGATATATGAGCCAAGCTTCAAAAAGGAAATAGGATCACGTGATAAAGCACACTCTTGAACAATGTACAGTGCATTCCCGAATAGACCAAATCTAACATAGCCTAACACAACCTCACTCTCATATCAAATCCCAGCCATATTAAATCTTCCGGTTAAAATTAGCATGATTACATTTTTTGTGTACCTTGAGTTGTCAAGGTTTGGGGGACGGGATTAAGTCAGGTCATGTTATTTTATGTTTGTAAAAGCCATTATGCATACATAAATAAGTTAGATGGCAGAACTATACCCTTTCCTATTCTAGAAGGCAATCTTTAGGTGTTTCGGTGATAGTATTCTCTTATAATAGTTGTTATAGCTTTATCTTTATCTTACATTATTAGTTTAGTAAATATTAAGAGGATACAATGACAATAAGCGTCATATCTACCAGCAAGTATAGTTTTACAGAGCGTCTCAGTTTTGTCTATGAGTGATGATATAATGTTAAAGTAATAATGTAGTATTGAGGTAGAAAAAACATGATAAATAGTTTTAACAAAATCAATGCCACAGTTTATCTTCTATGTTTATAAAAGGTAAATGCCACTGACTGACTGACTCACTCTGCCACTCACGTACTCATTGATCGATATAATAAAATATACAACTCGTAAGAGCTCAGGGATTCGAATGGAGGTTCCACTAAGATTCTAGGCGTGCAACAAAAAGCGTTTTCAAGAAATTCCATTAGGGCTCTGCCCCAGTGGCTGTTAAAGTGTATATGTTTTACTTATTGCGATCACATGAGTTTACATTTGAACAGATGAATACCACCATTTGAATTCACACTACGATTCAACAAAAATAAATTATCTTAAAAAAATATTAGCACTTTTCTTTTGTTGTAATATAATATCTGTAACTAATCCAACAAAAATAGCCATGTTGATTTAAGCCTTGATCCAATTTGTATTCATTTTGGACTTAATTGATGACAGAGAGCTGT